CTGAAGGTCCAAACAATTGTGCAGAGCACAGAAAACCCACGTTGGTTACGCAGTAAATTGAATATTACTGAACACTCTCACTGCGTTCTGCAAAATTAGAAACAGAGTTATGTTGGAACACGGCCATTAATAAAGTGAGGCTGTTACAGTATTTGTCTCTTGGGGGATTACAGTATTTTTCTTTTGGAGGATATCACCTTCCATCCCAGAATTCATCTCCTTTCATGGGAGCTGGGCCGGGAGGCCACAGAATACATGTTATTTTAGGGTCCAAACAGTTGTAGGACAGCCACAGTGCAACAAAAGAACAGGAGGCAACAGAAGAACAGATGCATAAATTGAATTTTCCACCAGCTATTTACAGCCAGATTACAGCCCATTTATTCCATCTGAGTGAGAAAGAATAAACATCCCTGAGAATGTGCCCTCTAATTTCAATTAAATTTTATTGTGCAATTTGCTTTTTACTTTCCCCCAAACACTTTTTTTTTTTTCTTTGCTATGAGAGATTTAAGCATTTTGTTGTCTTTGAAAACTTTCGATTACAATGAACAGGGCTCTATTGTGATGGTAACTGTATCTGATTATCTATAATTAACCCGTGAATGACTCATGGTGGGCTGTTAGAGAGGAAACTTAAGTGTAATGAAATTAGTTTCTCACTCAAAACTCAGCCTGAAATACAGACCTTTTTTTTTTTGTGTGTGTGTGTTTCTTTGTTTTGGAGCTTGCTTGATTCAATATTTTTTCCTTTCATATCTCACATTTGAAGGTGCTTTTCCGTGGGTTCCAATAGTTGCTGTAATCAAAAGTAGAAATGCTGAAATACTATAAAGCCATGTGCTTTCGTCAGGTTTCTGGCAAATTCAAAATCTCAATTGTTTGCACACTTTTGTACGAACGGCCAATTTTTTGGAAGCTTTTGAAATCCAGATCTTGAACCCTTCTTGCCCTCATTTTATCCGTTCAATTTGTGGGTAGAATTTAAGACTGTGCAGCTGAGAAGCCTCGTAAACAACCAAATATTGAGATACAAAATTGTTCAAGACCATTATGAAATTCCCAGTTGTCCACATCCTTGGGAGATCAGAACTGCCTCCATCCGAGACCAAAGCTTGGAGTTTTTCAAAGGGGGAGTTAAAAATTAGGAAATACACAGAAATTGTGATCTCGAATCTCTGCCTCCCATGACATTTCTGTGAGAATTGAATGCTTTTGCAGGTTTCTTTGGAAATTCCACTCAATATTAAAAGCTTCACAAACCCAGCTCACTATTTCTGTAGCTAGAATTTTAAATTTAAATTTAGGTCATTATTTAATCTTACCAGAAGACCTGCAATTAGACCCTGGGCATCACCCTTCAGGTAGCAAAGAAGTCTCTGTACCATCTTCTACAGCACAGGGTTTGTGCTTGTCTCATTGTAAAAATGAAATACAGGAGGTTTTATAGATTTTTCTCTGGAAGCTGTTGGAAATCTTTGGGTTAAATTCATCACAGGTGTAATGAAATCTTGTGACTGCCACGTGTGGATTATTAACTAATTCTGAGAACACGCTAAATATTATTAAGGCTAGGGATTTATTTCCATATCTTATGGAGGAATTTAAGGTGATGATATTAAGAACAAGTTTAAGTCATTTGGACAGCTGAGTTTTAATTAATCTGAATCTCCAGGGCTGCTTTCTCTGAAGGGTGACAGAGAGGTGAACTCTTCAGTGGGTAAAGCAACACGAGTCCTGGGAGAACGTGGCCCTCACTGTTTGAGACCATGAGAGAAAAGGGGGGAAAAAACCTAAAGTATCTAAAGAGGGCTTTCAAGAAGGCTGGAGAGGGACTTTGGAAAGGGCAAGCAGAGAGAGGACAAGGGGTAATGACTTTAAGCTGAACGAGGACAGGGTTAGATTAGACATTAGGGGTAAATTCTCCCCTGGGAGGGTGGGCAGGCCCTGGCACAGGTTGCCCAGAGAAGCTGTGGCTGCCCCTGGATCCCTGGAAGTGTCCAAGGCCAGGTTGGACGGGGCTTGGAGCAACCTGGGCTAGGGAAGGTACCCCTGCCCATGGCAGGGGGTGGAATGAGATGATTTTTAGGGTCCCTTCCGACCCTAACCAATAAAATAGCACATAATAGAGATGCTGGGATATGCCTTTTGGAGAGAATTTAGATAACTGTTCTTCTTCGCTTAGGAAAAAAAAAAACCAGCATCACGAAACAACAACAAAAAGGGATAGATCATATGACATGATAAAGCAAAACAAATTGAAGGAGTCTGGTATATTAATTATTTAGTTTAGTCAAGAGAGAAGAGTAAAAAAAAAACAAAGCCAGGGAAATAAAGACTGCCAAACCCTGAGCAGGCTATAAATATCCATATGTAAATGAGAGACCTTAACAGCACTCACACAACACTTGGCATCACAGTTGTCAAAAACCTATAAACAATTCATATCACAGTTCCTTAAATGTTCCATATTCTTTCTTTTTTTTTTTTTTTTTCCCTAAAAACCCTGAAACTAAAGTAAATAAACCCAGAGGATGGGGAAGGGTTTTAATACTGAGAGATGCACAGTGAACATATTGAACAGTGCAGTTAGAGCAGAGCACTCCAGCACGAATGTGGAGGCACTCAGATTTGTATGGATTTTAATTTGATCTTTATTCTGGCTGGGTTGAGAAACTTGAGCACTCTGCCTGGCCTCCGCTCTCTAATTGGCAGCTACTGCCTGTCAGCAGGTCAGAGAATGTCAAGCAAGGACTATAAAATTCACAGAACATTTCCCTGCCTGTGAACTCTCAGAAATACGAGATATCGTGTATCAACAGCTTGTATGAACACAAAGGTCAGATTAGGAGGAATATCTCAGAGGAATAGAGACTATGAGGCAGAAGAAATCAGAGCAGAGAACAATAAAAGGCTGTGCCAAGTTTTCCGTGTACGTGTTATTTTTCCTAGAGAATTTTTGCCCATAATACATTTTTGCATGTTTGCTGTTATAGTTTGGGATTCAATTTGCAACCATCCTTTTCAATCTATCCACTTAGTGTGAAAAAACCCTGAAAATATCCTTTGTGTGAGAATCCTCCGTAGGTAACTGGCACTGAGAGTCACATCATTCTGCACTCCACCCTCATTTCTATCCTATAGACCTCCACGAGGTGCTTCAGCAGGATTTCCATGTCTGACAGCAAAACTGTAACCTAATCTCTTACAAGATGACACATATAATGCCTCTCTACACTGTAGCAGGAGCTGGGTTTAAGAAAGGTTCAATTATTCACCCAGGGGACTTTGTGTATTATAGAGTGATCTTTACTTTCAGATCTTTAATGTCTTAAAGGTTGGAAGTTTCATCACTGTTCTCTAGACTTCGTAACCGAATCGGGTGAGTAAAATAAAAGGTGTTTCTAATTTTACCTGGTGAGATTCTGACCTTTTTTGATGAACAAACTCCACTGATGTCAGAGGAGTGCCTTTGCACGCACATCCCTATCACTGAGATCAGAGTTTCACAGTTCAGCCCCAGCTATCTCTTCCCAATCTATCAAAATACTGTTCATTATCTCTGTAGATAAGTAATTCAACCCTCTCATTCCCAGGGAAGAGTTCATACATTTCATGGCCTTTGGGTATTTTTCCTTTGATTTCTATTAGAAGTAATACAAAAATAAATAATATCCCCCCCCTTTTCTTTCACTGTCACAGTAATTCATAATTTTCCAATATTTATAATAATTCCACCAAATGGAGGATATGTGTATGCAGTCTCCCACTAAATAGGTAGATTTGTAAGGAAACTTAATTGTATCTTCTCCAGGAGTACCCAGAGCCTGGAAAAAGAAATTTCATGTTTTTCCTTCAACTTTTCAGGAAATCCTTAAGGTGTAAAAATAAGTTGACAATAACAGAGAACGTGCTTTGAAGGGGACCATATTTTCCAAATATTTTCCCTGTCATGTTTTAGTCCACTGAAGAACTTTGTTCTTACTCTGGTTCCCTGTTTGAAATCTGACATTCTCAGCAATACTGAGCCATTTGTATCATTGTCAGAAAGAAACAGCCCATGTTCCTTCAAGCACAGCAGTTTACAGACTTGGTTAAAGAATGGTGCTTAAAGATGTGGGTCTGCTTTTCTGACTCTGATGTTGGTTCACACTGGGGAGGATCTGTCCTTCCTTGATGAAAATGTACAAAACTGCCAAGTCTACAGTGTGTGATTTAATTTCTACCCTGCTGTCACAGTGTAATGGCTTAGAAAGAATTGTGCACTACAGGCAAGATAAACTTTCTGAGAAGTAAAAGGGCATGAAGAAAATACAGGGTGACACACGTGAATTTACACATGTTTACTTATGTATGACATTTAATTGAGAACAACTCCTGTCAATAGGTTTTTCACCTCCCACATCATGAAAGGAGCTGGACACTTGGATACCTAGAAGTGCCCTAACTTCCATGTTAGTCTGCATGGGAACAAAACAAAACCTGCTGGTGGTTGAGTTCCTTTCGATTCTGAGCAGAACAAAGTCCTTTCACTCCACAGGACTTCTGCAGTCTGGATAATAAGTGCTGCTCTCTTTTCATATGTTACCTCTTTTTCCTTCTGAACTTCCCTCTTTCCCTAAATTCTCATGCTCATAGGAGCTCGAGCTCTTTCTTCTTCTGTTTTTCTGGTGGAAGAAATGCTCTTGCCCTTCTGATGCGTCGTTCTTTGCCCTCGGCGTTGTCTCATCCATGTCAGGACCAGAAAGAAATGAATAAAACCCTTGGACAAGATTCTGTATTCTAAACATCTTTTGCAAAATTCGTATCAATGCAAGACCCATAGTAGGACACATTCGTGCACGTTTTAATGAACAGATCTTGATATCTGATAGGTCTTTCTATTCCCACGAATCAGGATGATTTGAAGGATTTGCCAGCTGGGCACAGCAGTCTGTCTGGATAACATTGCCCTCAGAGCCTAATTCTAAGAGCAGGCTTCTGTGCATTTAAATATCTCTTTTTATTTTGTGCATGAAATAACAACGTTGAGAATCACTCAGTTATTGGCCAAAACTTTCCAAAGAGCACTCAGCTCGTTCACCCACAAGTCTTTCAGGATGGTGAATGAGCTCAGGTCCAAGAGCAGAGTTTGATGAGCCAGAGCCTCAATGCCAGAGGTATTTCCACCTGCCAAAAACATGGAAATGCCCATGGTGCAAATCCACAATGTTCCACTACAGGCAATGTTGATTTGCACTGGGGAGGATCTGGTATTTTCTTGAGGAAAATAGAGGATCTCGGTGTGTCTGCAGGGGTTCCCCACCCAGCTGTAATTCCTATCTCTCCAAATGGCTTTTATGTTTGAATTCTTTGTGTTCCAGTTTCCTAATGGTCTCTATTACTGTAAATTTGCAGAAATACCTGAGTTACATTTGCTATATTTGAAGTTATGAATATTTTGATTATTTAATCAAAGTCAGCAAATTTATGAATTCAGTTTTTGCTTTTATTCTGAGTAAGACTTTAATTTTTATTTTATCTATCATAGTGCTTATTATCACAGCAACAAAAATTGTTACCTGAAAAGTAATTTTTACTTATATACATATAATTGATAATTAGAAGGGTTGTTTGGTTCACAGTGGAGAGTTCTAGGTAGAACTGTGTGAATATTTGTATCTTGATCAAATACACCCTCAGGTGTATTTGCCCTCATCTCAGGCTTGCAGCAAGTTGTCCTAACACAGGAGGTTTACATCCCAGATAAAACACCTCCTTTCCCACTCATTCTTACCTGGTGCTTCCTCAGCTACTTCTGTCTGCAGCCAGGCTGTAAATGCTGATGGTTCTGCATTCCAGACTTAGCAACTGGAATAGCAACAGAGAGAACTTGGGAGAATTTTCTTCTGCTGTGAATAATTTCAATACGAAGATTAAACGTGGTAAATGAGAACCAGTTTTCTTCTTTTCTGACCCCTGGGGTTTAAACTGTTTGCAGATAAGCCCTGAAATTATAGAATCCCACAATGGATTGGGTTGGAAGGGGGCCCATCCAGTCCCACCCCCTGCCATGGGCAGGGACACCTTCCACTAGCCCAGGTTGCTCCAAGCCCTGTCCAACCTGGCCTTGGACACTTCCAGGGAAGTGGTTATGGGCATTGCTCCTTTAACTCACTTAAATAGTTTAGAAAACATCAGTGTATGTGCAGGCATCAGAATAGATTCAGCACTAATCTGTTTGGTTCACTGTTCTTCAGCTAATTCGATATTGGCCTTTGGAGTTTCAAATGCAATTGCAGATAAATATTCGAAGATGCTTTTTTCCCCTATCAAATAATAAGAAAGCAACACATACATTTTCATGGTAGGTGCCAAAGATTTGGTTTCTGAATCTTAAGTCTGTTATGATTTATACAGCTCTCAGGCCCTGGCACAGGCTGCCCAGGGAGTCCCCATCCCAGGAGGGATTTAAAAGATGTGTAGATCTGGCACTTGGGGACATGGTTTAGTGGGGGAACTGTTGAACTCAATGGACTCAGAGGTATTTGCCAACCTAAATGATTCCGTGGTTCTATGATTCAGTTATTCTATGGTTCAATTATTGTATGGTTTTATGATTCTATTGTTCTGTGATACTATGATTACATAATTCTGTGATTCTATGATTTGATGATTCCATAATTCCATTATTCCATGATTCTGTGAACAAGTTTGTCAATCCTAATGGCCTACTTTGAGTAAGATTCATATAATGTGGCCATGCCCTATGCATGACATACATACTGACTGCAGCAGTGTTTGCACATCAGATTCCAGTCTCACACCTTCTTTCCATGTTTTTTTATGAGTCTGTGGGATTTAAAGGCAAAGATTTGCTTTCACCACAGATTAACCTACACAATCATCGTGTAACAACATAATCAATCAAAGTTACAGAACAACAGACCTAAATTACTCATCTACCACTGAGAAGCATCCCTGTGAAATGAAGTTTAGAGCTTCAGTATTGAATTGCTTTTCTTTTCTAATACAAATTTCACCAAGCTAAACTCCCTTTAACTCAAACATCTGATAGGGGTTTAATGGTTAAATTATAGATCAGTTGTAGCTGCTGACTCTGTAGGTAGGTCTTCAAATGTGCAGGAAAGCATTAAAACCAGCAGCATAAAAATAACAGTTTAGCAAAACTATAAATGGAGAGTTGGCAGTACCAGTGAGACAGAAAGGGCAAATGTGTTACAGTCATTTACCAGAGGGAATAAATGGGTGGGAAGTAATGAGGGTAGAACCTAAAAATAAATCCCTACAAACACGTATGTGAGGCAGGCAGAGCGAGCCAGCAGAGAGGCATGGACAGGAATGTGATTTCTTTGGAGAGGTTGGAATGACAACCCCACGAGGGGGAGTCTGACTGGAGGATGGGAAAATAAAATGGGCGTGCAAAATGTCCTGCTGGGATGTCACTGGGAGAGGGGCAGAGTGTTCAGGGTTGGAGTGCTGGGAACTGCAGAAATAAATCAGGAGTTTACACGTGCACCCAGGCAGGAAATGTTAGAGCTGGAAACAGCTTCAGCTAGGAAATTGTTAGAGAGATTGCTGAAAAGGATAAGTGATGCCTTAAAATCTATATTGTATAAAGTTTTAGCGTGGCTTGTTAGTACCTTTAGCCTGCTAAACGTCTTTGTACCAGATTTCTAAAAATGCTGTTTAACATTCTTTGTTAAGGGTTTCAACGCACAAGGGATTTTAACGAGGTGAAGAGCTCCTTGTCTGTGAAAAATGCACTGGGAAAGAGACCCACCAGAGACATAACACTTGGTAAAAGTAGTCAGAGCCATTCAGGGGCCTTGAAACCATTCCAAGAGGGTCAGAGGAGACGAGGTAGACAAAGAAGATGAAGGGGTGGTCATTGTAGGACCACAGACTCAAACTGGGGAGGCGTGGGGAGGGCAGTGCTGTGGGAGGGCCGGTTTTGGGAGTGGGTGTAACAGATGTCCAAATATTGTAATCAGAAACTGAATATTGTAATTAGATGATTGTATAAAGTTGCAAAAAGCCTCTGCAGGCGGGGTGTGCAGTATATTTTTGTGCACCACCGATGCCATGTTAAAGAAGTGCTTTTTTTTGCCTTTCGATACTCAAAAATAGTCCAGAGAATTATTTCTCTGTTTTAGAACTGCACAGAAACATATAATCCTAATAGGATCTCCATGGAAAATTGGGTTCTTAATTAACCTGCCCTTATCATTTTGATTTTTGAGCTTCAGGTCTTTAAATGCGTTATTTTTAGGATCTAATGTTAACCTGTCACACGTTTTCATTAGCACAAGTTTCTTCTATTTTTTTCCTCTTAAAAAATAATGCATATATAATTTTTGAAACTGACCCCTTTGGAGGTAAAATGTTTGCAAATGATCTAAAGCTAGTTTTCATATTTACCAACATGATCTTTTTCCTTATACTTCACAGAGAAAAGGAACATTTGAACTATTCATTGTAATTAAGGAAGGATTACAGTTTTTCTTCATACTTTCCCAACTTAAAAAAAAATAGGTTTTTCATTCAACTGCGGTATTATTATGACTAATAACCTCTGTGAGTATTATAAAGGGACAAATCATCCTGTCTTCCTGAAATTAATGGGGACACAGTGAAAAATCCCAGTAGCCTTAGCACTGGATATTGGAACTGATCCATGAAGATATGAATCCTATTCCTAATACTCTTGGAAAGTCCTTGCCTGGGATTTTGTAGTTAGATGTAAGAAGATGGCCTCCCTTTACAGTCTGTGCCCCAAAATTTCTTTGTCCTTTGTATAGTAATGGAATTATGTTTGGAAAAGGATGCAAAGTTAGGAATTGGGTTTTGCTTCAGTAGGCAGCTTTGCTTTTGCTTTCTGCAGATACCTTGAGGTTTTTATAAACATGAAATATCATTTTAATTTGTATCTGCACTGTCCTCTCTGCTTCTAATTTTATCTTTTAAACCAAATATATAGATTTCATTTACTGTTTGTTGCTCAGCTCTCTCTTTAGGCCATAAAAGCCCTGAAAACATAATATTAGTGTTAATTTAAGTAAGATATGAGCAAGTAGAAATAGCTAAATGGAAACTGAGACAAAATAGTCAGTTCTTATTACATTTTTGCCAGCTCTGCTGCTTGTCCATAAAAGAACTTCACTGTCATCTGTTCTTCAAGATTAATTAAAAGAGATAACCTGTTCTTTCAGAGAGAGTGCCTGTCCTCATTCTCTGTATGAGGCTGATGCACCTTTGATTTCTGAAAATGCAGGAAATAAAGGCTCTGGCAACACTGCCCTGACTGGTTTTCCAGCGGCCTCATTTCCTGCAAACTTCCTGGTTGCATTCCAGAAGGATGCCACGGGAACGTGGCATCTCACAGGCGAGGGATTAAAAATGTCCTTGAGAAGGGGAAAACTGTGGCTGTGATACCAGGACTGTCAGTGCTGCCAGACTCCTTTCAGTGTTCTTGTGGATTCTCTGGGAATTCACAGACAATAAATTACTCTCTATGATAGTGGGGAATAGACTTGAGAGATGATTGCTCCCTATCACACGAACCTAAACAGCCTTTAAAAAAATATCATCATATTTTTTAACAAATGCAACAAGGGAGCAGAATTCAAACAGTGGGAGTTTATTTCTAGTTCCTAGAATATTCTGATTTCTGGAGTGTTTAATGCTTTATGTAAGGAGAATACATTTCAATCTCATTGTAGTGGAACAGCCTGGTTCCCAGTAAATTCCCGAGAGCACAATAAAAAAGGAGAGGGAATAGAAGGATTAGACTGATCTCTTGGGAAGCTTAAGTGTTGCATTTGGTAAAATTCAGCATTGTCTCCTTGCCCAAAAACTTGAAAAAAGTCATTATTCCTCTTGTAATGAAGTTAATGGAAATTTTGCAATTACTTCTCTTGCAGAAAGATCAAGTTTACTGTTCCTATTCCGTCTTACAGATGACAGAAAAATACAGTGGGAGCATTTCCAGGTCTCCTGAGTTAGTGGGCTCTTCAAACTGAAACATCAGCCCTATTCTGGTAGAAAATGTGCTGAAAGCATTACATGCCTATGAGGTATTGTTTTAGAATGCTGGCAATTGGTGAAGTGATATTGAAAACGTGAATCCAACCCCTAACATTGTGAATGCTGCTGGTTTGTCTGTACCTCCTTCAGAAAAGCCCATAGCAGGAGAAGTGTCCTTGGAACACTCAGAAAATTTGATTTATTTTAATTACCCACTAATTAGCGGGAGTTTTTTAATACGTTCAATGACATAAGTAGGGCAGCAGAGCAGCAACTATTGTGTGGCAAAGGGAAGTGCTGGTAGAAAGGTGCTTTTGTGAAAAACTGTCAAGCCCGGGGGAAAAAAAAAAAGAAGAGAATTGGCAGGAGATCCACATCTAACCAGAAAGTACATTTAGTGCCTATTCATTTGATCACTTTTTTTAAGGTGAAATGAGCATTGACTGCAGAATGTGCAGGGATTCCAATTTGAGGGAACAGGGGAGGGTGAGGTCCAGGGGAGAGTCATGGAATCATTAAGGTTGGAAAAGACCTCTAAGATGAACAAATCCAACCATCAACCCAACACCACCACCATGTTATTTAGGAGAATCCTGAGGACTTCAGGTTTTCTCCCCACTCCAGACTTTACCCTGCCTTCTGCCTGCACTGGTTGCTCAGAACAGACCTTCTTCCATCACGTGTGTACAATGAGTTTGCTTAAATAATTATTTGAATGTTCAAAATATTAAAGAGGTTTATGGGGATGTGAATGTGGCTGCCTGTTCTGAAGCGACCAGCATTGTCTCATCCTCCTTTGTGTTGGTTAAGTTCTCTTCCTTAGAAGCCAAATACCTTTTTAAAGAGTCTCTCAGAAGAGGACAGTGCTTTATGAAGGCAGCACAGCGTTAGGGATGTCAGCTCTGTGCATGGAAAAGGACACACCAGGAGCAAAATCTCCGCAGAAATACATTTCTCTTTTATTAGGAATGTCTTCTCTAGGCTTAATTATCATGGACACAAAAAGCAGACTATTTCCCAGGGAAATACTACCCACTGATATCACAAGAATTCAGCCCTGCTGAAGTGCCGGGAGTTGTGTTCTCAGTGCACTTATAATCGGGTCGTTATCACCATGGTTATGAGATTTAACTGACTCAAAACTGTAGGCATTTGTCTCATTAATGCCAAATTGTTAGAGTTTATTTCTGGGAGCTGAAAGCCCTGCTGCCCAGGGAAACCTGTTCTGTGCTAATCTCTGCAAACAAGGCTGGAGAACAGCCTGCCTGGCTCGTGGCAGAGATTTCACCCTTGTTTTGTTACCCCTTCTTAGGGGGTTTGGTTATTAAATAACTTTGTTCTGTGGTGTTTGGCTTTGTGAGTTCGTGTTCTTTGTCTTAACAAACCAAGGATGTGGTTCTGGTGCTCTTTGTGCATATTC